GGACGTCTACTTTCACATGCAATGAGAGAGCGAATTGTTGTGACAACGAGCGAGGCTTATGTGATTATGGCAAAACTTGAAGATTATCTAAAGCAAAAACACTTCCAGTACGAAGAGCTGTGTAACCTGACGAGAGAGCTTTTTGTGGAGAGCGAGGATATACAAAGTAGAATATTAGTGGCTTCTCGACGTCGCCATAGTTGTGTTGCAAAAGGGTTACTTACGAAGGTAAAACCCATTGCTTGTTTTTGTTATACTAATGTCGGTTGTTTCTTGTTGGATATCAATGAATTGCGGGATTCGTGCGGGATCGCTGTGCTTTTTTTAGTTTTAAGATGCCTATGAATCCATGCCATATACGGAAACAAACAGGATGGCCAAATGTTGAAAATGATTTTTTTCCTATATCAGCTGCAAGTGTCAGATGATTCTAAAAATGCAATATAAATCAAGAAATTTATCGTTAGAAACTAGTCCTTTCGTCACGAAGGCAACTTTCTAGGCAGTTAATTGATATGTTGTTATAGTGACAATGGCGCTGTTGTCGTTATTTCTTCTCTGTGTGCTATTATTTATCAGCTTGATTCAATTATTAAAGAAATATATAAATTCCTAGTTACACGCTCGGCTGTGCCTCGTTCTTTTTTCTAGTCTTTACCTTTGAATATCTGGGCATTTTGTTCACTAACCCAAGCCAACCCGAGTGCAGTACTTGTATCAAGCGATGCGCCTAATTCTAAAACTATAAACTAGTGTCACGTGCATGAATTGGGTCCTGGACGTGTGGAGATTAATATGGGTTTGGTCCAGCGAGTACCTCATTGTATAACTTATAATTTCCTTTAGATTCAGGACAAACTAACGAGTGAGCAAGGGGCCTGGGCACCGGAAGAAGCTCCAGAGGAAGTATACTTCTATCGTCTCGATCTTCGTGAAGACGACAGCAGACGACGTCGATGTCTCGTTAAAAACCAGTACGGCTCCAGTCATCCCGAGGCAACATTGGTTAAAGCTTTAGAAGGTACTCAGGCTGTTGGTTTGTGTTTTGTTGCCTTTATTGATGRCGTCCATGTTTATGCCATTGGRGTTGTTGTTGTGWCTCCCATGATTCAGTTACTTACTGATCTCGGGTTCCCTGTGTTTATAATATGGGGAAAATATGGCGATACTTCATTTTCATGATGACAATGGTAGCAATTCTGATTATCATCACCGTTTTCTATTATATTACTTGTTATCATTGTATTGATATTTAATCTTATTTTGTATAATGTTTTCGATGATGCAAAACTTAAAATATCCTCGAAGCTCTTGATAAATTGCACAGAATTGCTCCAGCTTCTGCTAGTTTACAATGATTCAATAAGCTGAACTTTTCTAAG